TCTATAGTACCAATCCAGTAGTCTCCTCCCATAGTACCAATCCTGAAGTCTCTTCACATAGTACCAATCCAAAAGTCTTCTCCCATAGTACCAATCCAGTAGTCTTTTCCCATAGTACCAATCCAGAAGTCTTTTCCCATAGTCCCAATTCAGAAGTCTTCTCCCATAGTACCAATCCAGTGGTCTCCTCCCATAGTATCAATCCAGAAGTCTTCTCCCAGAGTACCAATCCAGAAGACTTCTCCCATGGTATCAATCCAGTATTCTTCTCCTATAGTATCAATCCAGTGGTCTCCTCCCATAGTACCAATTCAGGAGTCTTCTCCCATAGTGCCAATTCAGGAGTCTTCTCCCATAGTGCCAATTCAGAAGTCTTCTCCCATAGTGCCAATTCAGAAGTCTTCTCCCATAGTGCCAATCCAGAAGAGGAAATGAAGTTTCCTCCTTTAGGACCCAAAATCTACAATCGCCTCTGATAGTAAGCGATACACTGCAATTTCCCCTCCCATAGTACCAGTAGAGAATTCCTCCAGGAGTTATACAAGCAGGTTTGTGTAAACAAGGTGAGAATATCATCAAAAGTTCTGTTATTTGATCTACTAAATTTTGTTTCGGATAATTAGTAATATTGGTGTGTTTGAAGAAGTGATTTTGGGCAAAAGGCCATTTTCCCTCAAAATGTAAAAAGAAGATGTTATGTTCATTCAGGAAGCAAGTTCAAGGATGTAAAGAGTGAACTATATAAACAGTGGTTATGTGTACTTGTACGCCTGGATTTTACCAAAAGAAATCTTGGGCCCTTTGCCAGTGTAGTTGGCAAAAGATGTCACTGAGGTAAAACGAGGAAGTTGTCTGTTGAAAGTTTCATAAAGGCTTGTTTTCAACACGCACACACATGGAACGTTGTTCAGTTGATGATGTGAGTAGTCTATTATTGGTTGTATTTTGTTAGATGGGCACAGCTGAACACATGGACTGGCTTAGGTATAAAACATTAAAAGGTCATTATGTGCTGTTCAGAAGGAATTTCTGTCAAATGTCTTAAATTTCTTCTGTGATTCAACAAATCAATGTCACTTCAAGAAGCCAAGCATTGAGATAACATTTCATGTTTGGAATCCCAAAAGGGTAGGGAGTAACCATTTATCCCCTTGAAAGTGAATAAGGGTGATCTCAACCCTTGTGGAAAGATTATTTAGCCAGCCAAAGGATCTTTACCCTAATGTTAATGTCATTCATTTCTTATTCGAAGAAGGTCAGGGGTATATTTGTAATTGGATACTCTTACATTTTCATAAACACTTTTTATCAATATTATGAGAATGTCAACCATTTGGTTTCTCTTTATATCAACATTCAGAGATTTGTTCCCCCTCCCTCCTCCTCCCCCTTATTAATCAGCTTAGCCTCTATGTTACTATTTCAAGAATGTCAACCATTTGAATTCTATTTATATCAAAATTCAGAGACATGTCTCCGCACTCATTAGTCAGCTTAGTCTCTGTATATTACTATTTCAAAAATGTCATCCATTTAAATTCTCTTTTTATCAACATTCTGAGATTTGTCCCCCACATGTAGAAGCTTAGTCTCTGTATAGTAATATTACAAGAATTTCATCCTTTGAAGTTACCTGTGGATTGCCATTAAGGTCCTCCAACCCCATCCCCTTCACCCCCCCAACTCCCATTAAGCATCACATTGACAGACTCTGATAAGGTTTGTTATCACATTGTGGTTGACTAATTTTCTGGCAGTGCTAATGAGAGTAACCTTGCTCTTCCTAATTATAAACACCTGATCCTTATCCCAAAGACTAAAGACCTGTTCACACTTGGTACTTAGTAGGCTAGTGTGCCAAATAGCTGCACAGTTTACATTGTCATCTTGGTGCTACAAGATGAAGTGTTACACAATGTTTGTCTGTCTGCCAAACTCTGCATAAGTGAGTATTTTCAATGTGAAGAAGATGACTGTTGAGAGCCATATGCTTGTGTGTATGATACTGATGTTTGGCGGTTAATCAGATCACAAGATTTGAAGTATAATACATCAAAATACAAATACTATTTCTGATGGCAATCAGATCTGTGTGTATATATGACAACACCCTAGGCTTTCTTGGTATTCAGCATGTTCACTAGGTGTTTCAGGGTCACATTACTAAAATAAATGCAGGACTTTTCTAAGTGTTCCATGATAACACCACCAAAACTTGGGACTTTTTTTAGTGTGCCAGGGTTACACCAACATCACTGGAAAGCTTTTATAGGTGATTCAGGGTCACAACACCATCGTTAGAGAGCCTGTATAGTTGTTCCATGGTCACAATACCATTGTTAGAGAGCCTGTATAGTTGTTCCATGGTCACAACACCATTGCTGGAGGACATTCCAGAGTGTTACATCAGCAAAACATCAAAGCTGGAGGACTTAAATATCATTTCAAAAGTCTATAGTCAAAAATCTTTATTCATCCTGGGTGTTTTGCCTCTATGCAGATATATTAAATCTGTGTAATGTTTAGTTATCTCTGAAATACATATGATAAATCAATAGTAGTCACAAGGCACATCAAGGTGTTTTAAAACCTGCAGTGTTGCCAGCCTCTAGGTACTTACTGTCTGACCACTCAAAATCAACTATGAAAGGGTACAATAAAGAGTCACACTGGAAATGACCTTATGATCAGTTGTATTTTATAGTTCTTCAATGTTCTGTGTTCAGTGTAAACATTTTTTATCATCATTATATTAGATCCAAAAGGTGATTTTGAGGGTTTTTTTCTGAATATCAAAAGCAGAGAAATATCAGGTGATTCTAACATCATCATTTGAGTAGGTCATCATATGACCAATAACAGGATGTCCTGACAGAATCAGGTGAGATGGCAACACTGGTTTTCAAAAGGTTCCCGAAACAATCATGCAAAAAATACACATGCTTTTACAGATGTCTGCATAATTGTTACAGATAGCTCTTCAAGATCTTACTGACAAAACCCCCTATGTACATACCAGATATAGATTTAGCAACAAAAAAAACTGGCTTTTGAAGAGATGTGGAACACAGTTATGATTTGTCCATCAGTAATGAATCCTGACTTGTGTAGACATCATTCTGACAGTAAACACACACAAGGCTATTTTGTACATGAGGAGATTAATTAGGTTTGGCAATCTTAAATAAAGTACAGGCATATTTACTGCTAACATGTTGTACCTGCCAGGTATATAGTCTACAGGGATTAATTAAAAATGCTTACTCTTTTTTTTTTTAAATTGGCCTAAATTGTATCTCAAAATATTTAATCAGTGCCTGATTTATTAATTACAGGTTAGATAAACTGTTATAATTATCCCTTAAAGATAAGTTTATAACCTAGGAGGATTTGGTGTATAGGATTTAGTTATAATTATCCCTTAAAGATAAGTTTATAACCTAGGAGGATTTGGTGTATAGGATTTAGTTATAATTATCCCTTAAAGACAAGTTTATAACCTAGGAGGATTTGGTGTATAGGATTTAGTTATAATTATCCCTTAAAGATAAGTTTATAACCTAGGAGGATTTGGTGTATAGGATTTAGTTATAATTATCCCTTAAAGACAAGTTTATAACCTAGGAGGATTTGGTGTATAGGATTTAGTTATAATTATCCCTTAAAGACAAGTTTATAACCTAGGAGGATTTGGTGTATAGGATTTAGTTATAATTATCCCTTAAAGATAAGTTTATAACCTAGGAGGATTTGGTGTATAGGATTTAATACTTAATTCACACTATAAGAATACACTATGTCATGGCTGCCCCTATTGAACACTTCAATGATTTATTTACTTAGTTATAATGGCAGCTGTTTAATTTAAAATTTAAAAACTTTAAAATTAATACATTGATATTCTATTGATGTAATTCTTTTAGGACCATTGTCGTTAAACTGTCTAGCATAAATGTCATTGGATTGAAAATTTAGAACACCTGTATCGTGATTGTATCAATAGTTTTAAATGGATTACCATCATTAGCATCCTATAGCCCTTGTATTTATAGTCTGTTTTTTCCAGGAAGAAATTTAGACAACAGATTGATAGTTATAATGTGCGTATCGTGACACATGATATTTAAGATTTGTTGTACATGCATTTGAAAAATTCAAAAACCATTTATTCTACCACATGAAAACAAATCACGTTGTAGATTGATGTAAACTGTAAAATAGGAAACGGATAATTTATTTATAAGGAACTAAATGTCAGACCCTGTCCTTAAGTACACATGGCCTTTTACTGAATAAAAAGATATATGCTTCTTAGTCATAGGTGTTACTATATTTCCTGCTAGAGGTAAAAGAATATCTTACAAATGTTGATATTTTACTACATTTCAACTACAGTCAAACCTTGTTACCCTAAACTTGCCAGGACTTGGGGAACGGTCAAGATAGTGGAATGTTTTGTTTGGTAGGGACTGACAAAAAATGCTTTGAATTAAATGGAATCTTTGAGGTATATGTGTTTGAAAAAATAATATTTCACTGTATTAGTACTTGGTATTATTAAAACTTTCTTCATAAATTCTGTTATATGTATCATACTTTATCCATCTCATGTGGAATTAGGAGAGTAGCATGATACACTGTCTATAAAGACCACCAAGTACCATCACTCTCTCAAGATCATAGTTCATGATATTAAAACATTGGTGTAAGGCCACAATGGTCCCTAACCTACTGTAGAAACAACTTGTTGATTATCAACAAAATTCTGGTTTCAGACATATTCAATCAGAAACAAAACAAAGTGACACTTCCTGTCTCATTGATTTAGAAAAAAATCTAGAATCATTCACAGGAAGCTTCATTGTTTGTTACAGATATTTCTGATTTATTACTGAATAGTAAAATTTTACCGTAGATCAGACAGTTCATGAGGAAATAATCTTTTCTTAATTCAGTCAATAACTGAAATGTTAAGAAATACCTATTTTGTGACATTGCAGGTAAAAAAGGCATTTTTTGCATTGGTGTACAATGGTGTACGGGCAGCACCACTTTGGGACAATGTCAAGCAAGATTATGTTGGTAAGTACAACAAAAGGTGAGGTAACTGTTTTAAATTTCAAATCTGAACATATAGACAGATTAAAAATAGAAAATTTGATGTATATTGATTAGTTTTTGCTGGATTTGAATTCGACAGCCTCAGGGCCATTACAGATATATATAAAAGCATTTCTATAGGTATTTACTGGGATAATTACATACCTGGTCTATTTATACAGAAGATGGAGGTCACCTCTGGTCAATGCCCTCATGTATGTTTATCTCATAAATATTCACTGCTATTTGCAGGTTTAGAGGAATTTACATGGTACTAGTTATTGAACACTGTAGTTCTGAGAATTGTTGTAACCATGGTATTGTAACATTCTGAGAATTGTTGTAACCATGGTATTGTAACGTTCTGAGAACTGTTGTAACCATGGTTTTGTAACGTTCTGAGAACTGTTGTAACCATGGTATTGTAACGTTCTGAGAATTGTTGTAACCATGGTATTGTAACATCCTGAGAATTGTTGTAACCATGGTTTTGTAACGTTCTGAGAACTGTTGTAACCATGGTTTTGTAACATCTTGAGAATTTTTGTAACCATGGTTTTGTAACGTTCTGAGAATTGTTGTAACCATGGTTTTGTAACATTCTGAGAATTGTTGTAACCATGGTTTTGTAACATTCTTAGAATTGTTGTAACCATGGTTTTGTAACATTCTGAGAATTGTTGTAACCATGGTATTGTAACGTTCTGAGAATTGTTGTAACCATGGTATTGTAACGTTCTGAGAATTGTTGTAACCATGGTTTTGTAACATTGTAAGAATTGTTGTAACCATGGTATTGTAACGTTCTGAGAACTGTTGTAACCATGGTATTGTAACATTCTGAGAATTGTTGTAACCATGGTTTTGTAACATTCTAAGAATTGTTGTAACCATGGTATTGTAACGTTCTGAGAACTGTTGTAACCATGGTATTGTAACGTTCTGAGAATTGTTGTAACCATGGTTTTGTAACGTTCTGAGAACTGTTGTAACCATGGTATTGTAACATTCTGAGAATTGTTGTAGCCATGGTTTTGTAACATTCTTAGAATTGTTGTAACCATGGTTTTGTAACATTCTGAGAATTGTTGTAACCATGGTTTTGTAACATTCTGAGAATTGTTGTAACCATGGTTTTGTAGTACTCTTTGTACTAAGGTATCAATGTTTTGGTAATACTCTCAGGAGTTTGGAAATATTGTGTCTGTAGCTCAGTGTATCAATGTTTTGGTAATATTCTCAGGAGTTTGGTAATATTGTGTCTGTAGCTCCAGTGTATCAATGTTTTGGTAATATTCTCAGGAGTTTGGTAATATTGTGTCTGTAGCTCCAGTGTATCAATGTTTTGGTAATATTCTCAGGAGTTTGGTAATATTGTGTCTGTAGTAATAGTGTATCAATGTTTTGATAATATTCTCAGGAGTTTGGTAACATTGTGTCTGTAGCTCAGTGTATCAATGTTTCAGTAATACTCTCAGGAGTTTGGTAACATTGTGTCTGTAGCTCAGTGTATCAATGTTTTGGTAATATTCTCAGGAGTTTGGTAATATTGTGTCTGTAGCTCAGTGTATCAATGTTTTGGTAATACTCTCAGGAGTTTGGTAATATTGTGTCTGTAGCTCAGTGTATCAATGTTTTGATAATATTCTCAGGAGTTTGGTAACATTGTGTCTGTAGCTCAGTGTATCAATGTTTCAGTAATACTCTCAGGAGTTTGGTAACATTGTGTCTGTAGCTCAGTGTATCAATGTTTTGGTAATATTCTCAGGAGTTTGGTAATATTGTGTCTGTAGCTCAGTGTATCAATGTTTTGGTAATACTCTCAGGAGTTTGGTAATATTGTGTCTGTAGCTCAGTGTATCAATGTTTTGGTAATACTCTCAGGAGTTTGGTAATATTGTGTCTGTAGCTCCAGTGTATCAATGTTTTGGTAATACTCTCAGGAGTTTGGTAACATTGTGTCTGTAGCTCAGTGTATCAATGTTTTGGTAATACTCTCAGGAGTTTGGTAATATTGTGTCTGTAGTATGGTAATATTGTGTCTGTAGTAATAGTGTATCAGTGTTTTGGTAATACTCTCAGGAGTTTGGTAATATTGTGTCTGTAGCTCAGTGTATCAATGTTTTGGTAATACTCTCAGGAGTTTGGTAATATTGTGTCTGTAGCTCAGTGTATCAATGTTTTGGTAATATTCTCAGGAGTTTGGTAATATTGTGTCTGTAGCTCAGTGTATCAATGTTTTGGTAATACTCTCAGGAGTTTGGTAATATTGTGTCTGTAGCTCCAGTGTATCAATGTTTTGGTAATACTCTCAGGAGTTTGGTAACATTGTGTCTGTAGCTCAGTGTATCAATGTTTTGGTAATACTCTCAGGAGTTTGGTAATATTGTGTCTGTAGTAATAGTGTATCGATGTTTTGATAATATTCTCAGGAGTTTGGTAATATTGTGTCTGTAGTAATAGTGTATCAGTGTTTTGGTAATACTCTCAGGAGTTTGGTAATATTGTGTCTGTAGCTCAGTGTATCAATGTTTTGGTAATACTCTCAGGAGTTTGGTAATATTGTGTCTGTAGTAATAGTGTATCAGTGTTTTGGTAATACTCTCAGGAGTTTGGTAATATTGTGTCTGTAGCTCAGTGTATCAATGTTTTGGTAATACTCTCAGGAGTTTGGTAATATTGTGTCTGTAGCTCCAGTGTATCAATGTTTTGGTAATATTCTCAGGAGTTTGGTAACATTGTGTCTGTAGTAATAGTGTATCAGTGTTTTGGTAATACTCTCAGGAGTTTGGTAACATTGTGTCTGTAGCTCCAGTGTATCAATGTTTTGGTAATACTCTCAGGAGTTTGGTAATATTGTGTCTGTATCTCCAGTATGTTACAAGTGTGTTCTTATGTCCATGTATGTAATGATAATCAGATATTTTGATGGTAAAGGAAAATTGGACACCATCATTTCAGGAAAATGTTCACTGTCAAGTTTGTGATCATGTAAAGGTACAGATGAGACATTTCTCCTGTGGTGATGTCTTATCTGTCGTGTCACCAGTACGTTTCATCATTTGGATGTATGTGTAATTTGTGTAGCTTTGTTTATACTCTGTTGAAGTAGATTTATATCCTGGTTGGTAAGGTATTGCTCTGTGATCTGGTTTCTCTCCAAATAGTGGCTCTGTCAAATATTTTCATCTCCTGAGATCCATTCAGGTTTTTTGTAGTCGTGAGGTTCACATCAAACATTCTCATCACCATATTATGTAATGAGTATCTCATGTTTGCGTGTGTAAGTTAGCAGCTCTATGAAATAAGATTATATAGTCGTATATATGGCATTATCAGCCACAAATTTGCCAGCCTTGTATATCAAGGAAATATCTACACTCTGATTCTTGGTTCCAAGTTTACACGGGGATTAGCAACAGGTCTTTTAAGTTGTTTACAATTTAAATTTTCAATTACTCTATTTGTTCATCATGATGAGAAGTTTAAAAGATCATCACTGAAGGTATTAGTAACAAAGCTAGGTATATATCTGAACATGTGCATATCTCTCTCATGGAAGGTTGGTGTATGATTGCAGCCGTACACTTACTGTACAATACTGAAATATCCTTAGAATCAATATAACATCAAAACATAAAAAAATCACTCAAGTGTATATATATCTAAAAAGATTTGCCAGGTTTTAAAATTGATGGAACATTTTGACGTCATACTGTGAATTATGAGAAAGGTGATTGTTGTTTTTAATTTTAATAAAATTTTGTTTATTTGAATAGGTATGCTGACAATAACAGACTTCATAAACATTCTACAGAAATATTACAAGTCTCCAGAGGTAAATCTTTTGATTTTGGTTCAATTTTAATTTTATTTGACATTAAAATTTAAATATTTTAAAAAGTTATGGCAGCCTTCTTTAATTAATATTGTTTCTGTGTCTGGCATTTTACTGATTTCATCAATGAATCAATTGATTGACCAGCTGTATATGTTCCCGAGATAAAGCTTAACAAAGCTTAACACACGAGTCAAATACATTGAACTCTTCAAACAGCTTCTTCTGTTGAATGGAAATGCCCAGAATCATATTTTGTTGATAGGTTCTTCAGATGAAGCCCATCAAATTTTATGAAAAGAAATTACTTTGAGCAGTTTTCAGTTTTCAATTTTTTTGAAAATGTTTTAACTACGTCATGCTAGCAGAGAATTCAATGACAATAATATGGTTGTATTTGTGAAAAAGAAATTGATTACTAAGTGAACGATGAACACCCATTAGGCTTCTTGTTTGTGGAGTGGGAGAATATCTCAATCAGCATGAAGACAAATGATAAAAGGCTTACACATATTTTAACAGCAATCTTGAAGTTTTGTGCTGAAATATGATTTTTCTGATTAGTTTCTTTGTGTTATTTATAAATCACTAAAATTTTATTCCACCAGATTTAGAAAGTTTTGAATATCTTATGTATTGGTCTAATTTTATCCCACAGAATTAAGTAACTTCTACTATACAAAAAATTTTTAATTTGCAATGACAGGCACTGTATATCAGTAATGAAGTCTCTCAACGCTCCTACTGATATCCAGTTGTCCTTTACTGAACTTATGATTGCAGAAATATTCACATCCTACATGTGTTTTGGTTACAGGCACGAATGGATGAACTTGAAGAACATAAGATACAGACATGGCGAGGTATGTGTTTAACATAGCCATCCAGTGTATTTGTAGATGTCAGAATGTACACCAACAAGACCAGTATGAGGGATATTGATCAATTTCACAAGTAATTTCTGTCTACAAAGGCTTCGTGGGAATGTTTACCTTTAAAATCTATAATCTGAAGGAGCTCAGTCGGTGATTAAAAAAGACATTTTAATTTCACTTTGTAAAAATTTTAAACAAGTTTAATTATTTTTAACATGGTTTTCTTTTGCTACAGAGGAGCTGAAGGACAAACAGAAGCCATTTGTGTACATTGATCCTGACGCTAGTTTATTTGATGCTATCAAGACTCTTATTGACAAGCATGTACACAGACTACCAGTCATTGACAGACCAACAGGCAATGCCATCTACATTCTCACACACAAAAGGATCCTGCGCTTTCTGTATTTGTATGTAAGTAGGACTCAACCAGGAAGTCATTATTTGATAATGATGATTGTAGATTTACGAGAATTTAATATAAAAAAAAACTTAAATTACACTATAAAGCGACATTCTGTATTAATTTTTGCTGTATATGTAAAATAATATGCTGTATAAATTTGCTGTATATGTATATGAACCTATTTAGTTACTTAATTACGTTTATAATCTTCACACCTAATTATGTTTGATTATCACCTGTATAAATGTGTTTGTGTATTTACAGATCAATGAACTACCAAAACCTAGTTATATGCAGAAGACGTTAAAAGAACTCAACATAGGAACCTACGACAATGTTGTCACAGTAAGAATGAATGGAATTTTTTTTATATTTTAGAAGATGGAGATTTCAGAGATTTTTTTCTCTTAAGAAAAAAGGGTTCCATCCTTAAAGATCCCCTCAGTGTAATAACCTGTTTGTAAAGACCACCTCTGTACAACAAATATCTGCCTGTAAAGACCACCCGTGTGTCACAAAGACTTCTCTGTAAAGACCACCTGTGTGTCACAAACACCTGTCTGTTAAGACCACCTCTGTGTCACAAACACCTGTCTGTTAAGACCACCTCTGTATAACAAATATCTGCCAGTAAAGACCACCTGTGTGTCACAAAGACCTGTCTGTTAAGACTGCCTGTGTCACAAAGACCTGTCTGTTAAGACCACCTCTGTGTCACAAAGACCTGTCTGTTAAGACCACCTCTGTGTCACAAAGACCTCTCTGTAAAGACCACCTGTGTGTCACAAAGACCTGTCTGTTAAGACCACCTCTGTGTCACAAAGACCTCTCTGTAAAGACCACCTGTGTGTCGCAAAGACCTTTATGTTAAGACCACCTCTGTGTCACAAAGACCTCTCTGTAAAGACCACCTGTGTGTCACAAAGACCTGATTTCTGGATCCAAAAAATACCATAATGGTTATTTTTTAAGATATACAAAAAAGACCATCTACCTGTAAAAGCTATATTTCTCTCTTTGATGGTCTTAATAAACAGGTTTTATTTACTAAGCTAGATCTACTGAAGAGATACAAGATAAATGCTCAGATTAATTGTCACAGCAAAATTTACTGCTGTGAACTACGATGTAATGACTGTTTATCAAAATTAAACAGAGGTCCTGCTTAGAGTTTGTGTTACCCTGACCTTGATCATCACATTATCAGTTTTTAGTCAGCACATTGCTGAGAAAATAAATTACAGTAAAGGTGTTTGATAACAGACTTAGTTTGTACACAAATGATAAATCAAGTCATGGTTTTTATTTAAATAGATATTTGCTCTTAACTTAAATTTTATGCTAATATTATTCAAGTAAAAATGCTTTGTTTGCCAGGCAACCACAGATACCCCTCTGTACAAGGCTTTGAACATGTTTGTGGAACACAGAATATCAGCACTCCCTGTCCTTGATGCCAATGGACGTGTTGTCAATATATATGCCAAGTTTGATGTCATTGTAAGTCTATTGTATTAGTTATAGTGTTATAATCATGGAAATTTTCTCTTCACTAATCATATCAGAAATACTGCAGGTTAATAATTATTGTTTTCTATAACATATTATAATGTATTAAAATACACAAGTTTTTACTGACCTTGAATTAACAATCAGGAAACTCAATCTTTTATCTGTAGACTTTCAGGACTGTATGTTGTCGTTAGAATCATCCTGACAGAGTGTTGTCTGTAGAACCATCATGACAAGTTGTTGTCGGTAGAGCCATCATGAAAATGTGACTTTAGAACCATCATGGCAGTGTGACTTTAGAACCATCATGGCAGTGTTTTGTCTTTAGAGCCATCATGACAGTGTGACTTTAGAACCATCATGACACTGTGTTGTCTGTAGAACAATCATGACAGTGTTTTGTCTGTAGAGCCATCATGACATTGTGTTGTCGGTAGAGCCATCATGACAGTGTTTTGTCTGTAGAGCCATCCTGACATTGTGTTGTCTTAAGAAACATCATGACAGTGTGATGATTGTATAGCCATCATGACAGTGTTTTGTCTGTAGAGCAATCATGACAGTGTGTTGTCTGTAGAGCCATCCTGACATTGTGTTGTCTTAAAAAACATCATGACAGTGTTTTGTCTGTAGAGCCATCATGACAGTGTTTTGTCTGTAGATTCATCATGACAATGTGATGTCTGTAGAGCAATTATGACAGTGTGTTGTCTGTAGAGCAATCATGACAATGTGATGTCTGTAGAGCAATCATGACATTGTGTTGTCTGTAGAGCAATCGTGACAGAGTGTTGTCTGTAGAAACATCCTGACAGTGTGTTGTCTTTAGAAACATCCTGACAGTGTGTTGTCTTTAGAAACATCCTGACAGTGTGTTGTCTTCAGAAACATCCTGACAGTGTGTTGTCTTTAGAAACATCCTGACAGTGTGTTGTCTTTAGAACCATCATGACAGTGTGTTGTCTTTAGAAACATCCTGACAGTGTGTTGTCTTTAGAGCCATCCTGACAGTGTGTTGTCTTTAGAGCCATCCTGACAGTGTGTTGTCTTTAGAGCCATCCTGACAGTGTGTTGTCTGTAGAGCCATCCTGACAGTGTGTTTTCTTTAGAGCCATCCTGACAGTGTGTTGTCTTTAGAGCCATCCTGACAGTGTGTTGTCTTTAGAGCCATCCTGACAGTGTGTTTTCTTTAGAGCCATCCTGACAGTGTGTTTTCTTTAGAGCCATCCTGACAGTGTGTTGTCTTTAGAGCCATCCTGACAGTGTGTTGTCTTTAGAGCCATCCTGACAATGTAGTTGTGTTCATGTTTGTAGAATCTGGCAGCAGAGAAGACCTACAACAACCTAGATATCACAGTAGAACAGGCCCTACAGCACCGTGAACAGGTAAACAACACCTACATTTTTTTTCTTTAAATGTAGCATAGAAGAAGAATTTAATATATACACAGTCTACAAGTATTCGTAACATTGTAAGTTTTGAGATAGTAAAACAACACATTAGTATGATATAGAGGAGATAATCAAGATTTTGGATTAAATATTACATTTGATATTAGCCCATGTTATTACAGGGCTGAAACAGCTTTATCAATAGCTGCTAAATTAATCAGACAACAATGAGATCTGACAACATTTTTACAATGCAGATGTTGTGGCAAGATTGATATATTATGATATTTCTATTTAAAGGAGATGTGGTTTGAAGGAGTTGTAACTTGCCAGGAGACAGACTCACTAGATTCTGTCCTGGAGAAGATCGTGAGAGCAGAGGTAAGCAGAAGACCTACTAATGTGGAAGTTAAGGCCTAGTCACTTGTCAGTGTTATAGCAAACACCATGATTTCTAAACAGTAAGAGTAAGCAAAATATATGTTTCATCTTAAACTTCACAAAAACACTGCAATTCCACCAAAATACAAATCCAAATGAAGTCAGTTTTGTATGATAGTAGCTTTTCTCATGGAAAGTAACACTAGACAACACATCTTTTACTTTACATATGGTTCAGAAGTGATGTTCAATCTTTGGAAAGTCAGTTACTACAACATACTCGCCTGAATGTATTTTTAGACATATTAATGTAAACCAATAATAAATTAAAAAATTTATCTTGCACCATGTATTTTTTTTATTTCATTTTTTTTTTGTAACAAGAGAAGCTCTTGATATGCTAATGAAAAACCTCAGTGTTGTTGTGTAAGGTGCATGTGTTTTTAACTAGTCACTAGTATATATAAGTATAAAGGTAAAACCCGGTATGATATATTAGTAAAACCCTTGTGAGCGTAGTGACGTAAATCTTTCATCTCTTTACAGATCCATCGTCTTGTGATTGCTGACTCTGATCAGCATGTAGTCGGTATTGTGTCGCTGTCGGACATACTCAAGTTCTTAGTTCTCAAGCCATCAGGTAAGCAGACCATTCCCTAGGCAGACATACGCAACTTCTTATAATTAGTTGTTCACCTATCTAGTAGGCAGACATACGCAACTTCTTATAATTAGTTGTTCACCTATCTAGTAGGCAGACATACTCAACTTCTTATAATTAGTTGTTCACCTATCTAGTAGGCAGACATACGCAACTTCTTATAATTAGTTGTTCACCTATCTAGTAGGCAGACATACGCAACTTCTTATAATTAGTTGTTCACCTATCTAGTAGGCAGACATACGCAACTTCTTATAATTAGTTGTTCACCTATCTAGTAGGCAGACATACGCAACTTCTTATAATTAGTTGTTCACCTATCTAGTAGGCAGACATACGCAACTTCTTATAATTAGTTGTTCACCTATCTAGTAGGCAGACATACGCAACTTCTTATAATTAGTTGTTCACCTATCAAGGACTCAAACATACTCAAGTTCAAAGTTGTCCATCTATCAAGTAGGTACACATACTCAAGTTCTTAGTTGTCCACTTATCAAGAACACAAACATACTAAGGTTCTCAGTTGTCCACCTAGCTAGCAGGCAGACATACTAAGGTTCTCAGTTGTCCACCTATCTAGCAGGCAGACATACTAAGGTTCTCAGTTGTCCACCTAGCTAGCAGGTAGACATATTCAAGTTCTCGTCAAGTTCTTAGTACTCAATCCATGATGGAAGCAAATGTTCTCAAGTCAGTTCATTAAAATTTAGTCATAGATTTTATAATTCAGTACATTGTTTAAAGGCTTTATTGAAATATGTAGACTGTAGTGATTCATGGAGGACTTAATACAGTCAAGGGGAAATAACTCCCTACCTAAAACTGAGTTGATACTGGGAATGATAACTGTGTATTACAAAGACTTATCTGAAAATGCTGGCAACTTCCTTAAAACTCTTAAACTAAATTTACTTACAGGACAATCACCCCATAATTCAAAAAAATCTTCATATCTAACTTAGCAATCATTTCTGATTTCTGTTTCAGGATTTGAACCGTCTTTAAAAACATCCTGATTTCTACTCTATACATTGACTTGGATAAGTTGATATTGGCTGGCTAGTTCAACTAAAAGAAAGGCATTGTGAGGTAATGGAACTGTCAATCACCAAAGATTTGAGGGTGGAGCTTCCATTATACTGGCCAATCACAAAGAGTCTACATATTGATTGGTCTAACCATTCACAGGAAGAAAGTTGTCCGTCACTACAAGATGATCAGACACACATTCAAAGCTTCAGTATAGGACAGGACTGATCTTAGCTCCAAACTGTGGAGATAGTGCTGTTTAGAGTTTATCATTTTGTACGTTTTTTAAGTGATTGTACCAGGCTTCATATGACTACTAATTAAAACAAAGTTAAAGGTATAGAATATTTATTACTGTTTTTCTCATAAATGGTTGTTTCAATGACAACATGTGTCATTATGATAATTAGTAACTTTCCTTTTATTTCATCAAATATTTTAAATATTTGAGATTGTGTAGCAGATAAAGGTAAAAAATTTCCGTTTCCAATAATAATGAGATGTGATGCTGTCTGATATGCTCAAATGATTTGTTCATCAGGCAGATTGTTACACATTTGAGAGAAATGATTTTTATATTATGAAGATTAAATATCATACATATTGGACAGAGCTGTCACAAGATGTACGGATATCAATGTCAGTCTCAATATCAAATATTGAGGGTGAGAGATAAAATAGATACGATTAAAGGGAAGTAATCCATATAATATTATCTGTGAAATCTAAGTTTAGAAATCATTACCTCACCTTTAACATATGTTTCAATATTCCTTTTTGCACTTCATATATCTTTCAAGTTATATCAAAATTTTCTTCTTACATCAGTTTCCATTATTGAACTATCAAATTTTTTCAAATGGAGGACACATAATTAAAAGATTAGTATGTACAGGAAGCCTTAAATTGCATGATTCCTGGGAAAAAATTATATTCACAATATACACCATATTTCATAAAAAGAATTCAGTTAATTGAAATGATACACTTAGACAAAATCGCTAGTTTCATGGACCTCCTTGGAAAGTCTGTGAAGTAGATTAATAAATGGTAATTTATACAATTTTTTTAAATTTCATATTCAGATTATCAACTAGATTAGATACATGTGTAAATTTGTTATTTTTCCCGTCAATAATTAAATATTTGGTATACTTGTATCATGAACATAATGCAGCCATCATAGACGTGTACCGGTTACAGATAACTACATTATCATTTTATTACAAATATCCAGTATTACCTGTACAACCAGACATCTCCTCTTATCAATTACAGTCCATTTATCTTATTTTGTGGAGTTTCAGTCAAATCAAAGTAGATATTTTATATGATTATAAATATCGCTGAAAGCATTGTCCGTACAGAAACACCCTAGATAAGTTAAAATGCATTGTGGTTGTACGATTGAAAATGAACCTCAGTTTCCTGTGTAAACTAAGAGAGCTAATATTTTGTGGCCAGCTTTATTTGGATATCTTTAATTTTGCTCATATAAATATGTCAAATTGTGGACTCAAATAGTTACCTTTTTCCTGTCAGGACATGTATCTTTATTGTATGTCAATTGAGTAAAATTTCAGGTTTATCTCGTTGGTAAATGTAGTGTTCATTAACAATTGAATATCTTTCCACAATTCGTAAGTTTTACTGGGAAGTAAAGAACATTGTATAAAGCCAGCTGAATAACAGGTCTACAAAATCCTACCAGGTACACAAGCTCTCATAGATTTTTTGTTGTTGCAGGTAGTATACAGGAAGATGAGGTCCTACATATCTCATTTGTAAATTTCAAAATTATTTTGATATATGTTAATTTCCTTATTAAGCTAATTTTAAAGAAATCAAGTGTTTTTTGTTTAATTGTTTTAGAACTTTTTCAGCTAGTCATTGATAGAATGGGAAAAAGCAATGTACTGGGATAATTAGAACAGCTACAGAAACAGAGGTTCTAGAATAAGTGATGTAGAATATTGTATATGTTAGATTTATATTATTCCTGTTATAAAACAAGATTTTACATAATGGCTGTTCAGACCTTATTTATATGTATTGAGAATATGAATTAAGACCATCTGCTACAGTGTTGAACCAGGAACTTCTGAAAGTGCCAACCTAGGGTTTTGCTGAAGTGTTGAATACTGTCCTTTTTAGAGGGAAGCTCAAATTGTCTTTTAACTGTTTGGCCTCCCAAAGTGTCACCTTAGGAGTCTCTATATATGTCAAGTACTGCACATGTCCTATTGTAGTGAAGCTGAATACTTTTTCAAAAAGTTTTGAGTAAGCCTTCAGAATGGTTGGCCTAGGAGACTCTTTAATGTCCTCTACTCTACATGTCCTCTTGTGGCAGTAGCTCAAAGTCTCCTTAAAATGTGTTGAGTTCAGCCTACAGATGTATTGACCTACAGGTTTTTTCTGAATCATAAGGTCCTATTCTCCTGTGGTTGAAAGCTCAAAACTCAAGGACATATTGATCTCTTAGACGTCTTAAAGTGTTGAGCTAGGGGGCCTGAAGATGTTGGTCATTAACCTGTAACACTATATTTAAAACATCTAACATACATGTATGTATCCTGTTTGTGATGAAGGTTCATTCTCAATGATCTCATTGAATCTAGTATGTAAACAACTTTTGTTCATGTTTATACTCCTGACCCTCCCCCTCCGTTGAAAATTTTGACAATATTAGATTTTTGACAAATGTTCATTCTGATGTTAAAAATCTTACATCTACTGCTTATATAGTAAACTATGAGAAATAAGATTATAGAAATTATTCACTCAGATAATAATGCCTTTGTTCTTTGATCTTATCATTTGTCGGATAATTTTCAACTTTTTTCTCATATTCAGGGAGCATTCATTTTGACCAGGGAGCATTCTTTGTATACATATGTTAAGAAATAGTTCATTTTATTCTCATCCATGTAGATGGGTGACAATGATAAATGATTTTGTATCTTTATGTAAATTATTTTTGTTCAGAAAGTAATGAAATTCATTAGCCAATATTTTTATAATTAAAATAGCTATTGACAAAATAGATGGTAAGATTTTTAAGACTTTTCAATCAGAATATTGAAGGTAAAACTTAATTTCATCACATTTAGTGTCATGTAGGCAGATGCTTGGCACATTGTAATCAAATATACACAAATAGATGAAACAGATGCATTGATTTGCACAAGAATTCTTATGGTTTTTCTATATCATCTATAAAGTTACATGATGTATAAGGTGAGTTATTTAGTTTCATATCAGAATTATGCCATTATTTTAAGTTGGTAGCTTTATATCTGGAAAACGATTGTCATTAATAACTTGTACTTCTGGGCATTAGACATTCGTCTACTTGTGTATTCAATGTATTGTCAGGCTTGGAAAGAATTAGAGGAGGGAGGGGTGGCTGACATCAGTCACATCAGAGATGTTTAACTATTGATGATAAAATTGTTATTTAGAGTGGTTGAAGTGGCAGATGTGTTTGGTATTCATGAATATTTTCTTCACTTGAAAAACCAGACTTAATATTTAAAATTAGAGACTGTCAACCAAAGAAATCACAAAATACGTGAAAATGTGGATTGTGTTTGGAAAGTGTGGTACACATGTGTCTTACTGAGCTACATCAGGGTTTACAAGGTTACATGATCCTGATAAGGTCATATAGATTTCATGCTACATAGAGATCATGTCAAGGCTGTTTGATGTAAAGGTTATCATATATATACGTCACATCAAGGCTGTGTCAAATAAAGGTCCAATGAAAGTCATCCTATATCTAGATCTTGCTAAGGCTGTATCATGTCAATGTTCCGTTATAAAAGGATCGTGTCTAGACTGTCGGTGAACAAGGAGCATGTGTTAATTTAAGCAAAATTTTTTATAATACCATACCATTTTACGAAACAGTCATCTTTAGAGACTGAGGTGTGTAAATTTTTGTCATGAAAGAAATGTTTTATATGTTTCAAATTAGTGAAGAAAAAGTACAAATGTCAAAAACAACTAAACATTCAATACTCCTGTCAAAGTGACGGTGTGTTCTAGTAGAGACAAAACCAACAGGTCAAACATTCAATACTCCTGTCAAAGTGACGGTGTGTTCTAGTAGAGACAAAACCAACAGGTCAATATATATCTTTCATTTATGTGTATTTGATGAAGAGAGGATGGGGCTTAAGGGTCTTTGTGATGGAACAAAAGAATTTGTGCTGGAATGGTGGACTTTGTGTTGGAACAAAGGACTTTTGTTAGAACGGTGGACTTTATGTTGGATGTTTGACTTAAGTACAGTGGACTTTGTGTTTGATGTTGGACTTTTGTCAGAACGGTGGACTTCGTGTTGGATGTTGGACTTTTGTTACAACGGTGGACTTCGTGTTTGATGTTGGACTTTTGTTAGAACGGTGGACTTTATGTTGGATGTTGGACTTAAGTACAGTGGACTTTGTGTTTGATGTTGGACTTTTGTTAGAATGGTGGACTTTGTGTTGGATGTTGGACTTTTGTTAGAACGGTGGACTTTGTGTTGGAACAGATGACTTTTGTTAGAACGATGGACTTTGTGTTGGAACAGAATACCTTTGTTAGAACGGTGGACTTTGTGTTTGATGTTGGACTTTTGTTAGAACAATGGACTTTGTTTTTGATGTTGGACTTTTGTTAGAACGTTGGACTTTGTGTTGGATGTTGGACTTTTGTTAGAACGGTGAACTTTGTGTTTGATGTTGGACTTTTGTTAGAACGGTGGACTTTGTGTTGGAACAGAGGACTTTGTGTTGGAACAGAGGACTTTTGTTAGAACAATGGACTTTGTGTTGGAATAAAGGACTTTTGTAAGAACAGTGGACTTTGTGTTGGATGTTTGACTTAAGTACAGTGGACTTTGTGTTGGATGTTGGACTTTCGTTAGAACAGTGGACTTGTGTATGACTGTGAACATTTTGTGTTGGAAGGCTTGACTTTTGTTAAAATGCAGGACTTTTTGTTGTACTCTGTACTTTTGTTAAAATAGTGGACTTTTAGTTGGAATGGTGGACTTCAAGATGGGATGACAGCCGTTGTATTAGAATGGTGGACTTGGTGTTGGAACATTGGACTTGGTGTAGGAATGGTGAACTTTGTGTTGGAACTATGAACTTAAGCTGGAATGGTAGACTCCGTATTGGAGAAGTGGACTGATGATGGGATAGTGGCCATTGCATTAGATTGGTTGGAATAGTGGACTTGGTGTTGGAATGGTGGACTTGGTGTAGGAATGGTCGATTGGTGTAGGAATGGTTGACTTCATGGTGAGATGGTGGAATTCATGGAGGGATTGTAGACTTTGAAATCAGGTTCATGTATTCTTGTTCAC